AGGGTTGGTTCAAACTTGTGATCTTCCTGTCTCAGCCTCTCAGAGTACTGGGATTACAGGTGTGCATCACCATGCCCAGCTAAGAGGTATATTCTTAAGGTTTATATAATGAGAGCTGGGGACATGGTTTTGTAGTACAGTACTTACCTAGAGCTCATGAGGCCCTGGGTTTGAGCCTCAGTACTGCCCCCTACCCAAAGAATGATTATATACTAAACAGTAAAAGAAAAAAAACTTTCTTGAGGGTATGGGGATTGGATCCAGGGCCTTGCATATACTATACTTTCAGACCCAGGGAAAATGAAATAATGATCCCTAGTACTGGAGAAACAACTGAACAAACAAGGAGCACTTTACAAAAGGGTGCATGGTACATCAGGGTGTGGTGGCACACGCCTGTAATCCCAGCACTCGGGAGGCTGAGGCAGGAGGATCACTGCAAGGCCAGCCTGAACTACAAAGTGAGCTCAAGGCCAGCCTGAACTGCATAGCGAGATCCTGTCTCAAAAAGACAAACAAAACAAAACAAGAAAAACGTTCACACAGCTTCCTTTGTTTTAAACTTCTCTAGATGATTTATAATACCCCACACAAAGTAAATGCTGCATTTACAGCAGTTATACTGTACTATTCAGGGAATGATGAGGAAAAAATGTCTTTGAATATTTTCACCTTTGGTTGGTTGGACCTACAGATTCAGGGCCCAAGGACACAATTCCCTGCTGGCCCAGGCTCCCTCCCAGGTCCAGCTCAGGACTGAGTGCTCTGGCGCAGTGCCCGGGTCACACCCGATGCCACCCCAGAGTAAAGCAAGGTTCAGGAAGCAGCTCCGGCTATGGCTGCTCCGAAGGCCACTCATACCCACCATTCGGAACTAGAAGGAGGCTTTTGACGATGCTTCTGAGGGGGCCAAGGCTGATCTGATTGGTGGCAGCAAATTCAGAGAGCTGAGCCAGAAACCTTTCCGCCTGCAGAGGGAACAGCACAAAGCAGGCCTTTACTCACTAAGCTTCTCTGGTCTACAGGCTGATGCATGGGTCTCTCCTTACCCCAAATACTTTACCTCCTTGGGCTCTGTCAGGAACTGGAAAAGCACTTCTGTCAGAGCTGAGAACTGCTGTAAAGAGAACACCACAGCACATCAGTACAGCCTCCATTCCTGCACTGGTGGGCCAGCCCCTCCGGGGTCCTTGTGAGAGAATGATACCAGCTGTTGACACTTGCTTCTGCAGCTGCTTCCTCTCCGGGGGGTGGGGGGGTTTGGGGTGGTGGTGTGTGTGTGTGTTTTCCTGGTACTAGGGATTAAGCTACACCCCCAATAATCCTTTCTTTCTTTTCTTTGCCTTTATAAGACAAGACTTTGCTATGCAGTTCAGGCTGGCCTTGAACTTACTTTGTAACCCACGTTGGCCTTGAATTTGCAGCAGTCCTCCTGCTTCAGCCTCCCGAGTGCTAGCATATACCACCACATTTGCCCACCCCCAGGCCTTTCTTTATATTTATTTTTGAAACAGGGTCTTTCTAACTCACTAAATTGCCTAGGCTGGGCTCAAAACTTGTAATGCTCCTGCCTCAGCTTCCAAGAGTGTTGGGATTAGAGGTCTGTACCACCTGCTTCTGCACTTTTTTTTTTTTTTTTTGAGACAGGGTCTTGATAAATACTATAGGCTGGATTTGAACTTTCTGTGTATCCCAGGTCAACCTCAAATTCATGATTTTCT